ACCTTACGGCGCAAGTTTTCTGAATGGATTTTTCTAATAGGGTGGCAACCGGAATTCAAATATTCGATTTTGGTCGTGATGATAATTACAGAAATGCGAGTGGATTGTAAAATCGTTTCAGTAACAATTTCCCGCGTAACCGAACCGTCAAACGTCCGTTCCACTCCTTCCCCCGCCCTGAACGACCACATACTGTATGAGACTACAATTTTATCCGCGCTCTCTAGAACCACACCGCTCCCCTTCCGTCCTCCTGTTGCCCTTCCCCTAACGCGCCCGCCCTGGTACTATTCGTGCAGGTGGCCCGAGACCTCCTTTTTTCCAATAAATTGATCGGGCCAAGCAGGTGGCCAGAACCCCCCAAAACTGAGCGCTATACAAGGCACGTCCCTCGAGGTCAATTTCGAAGATTGTGGGCCCCTATTTGACTTTTTCCACAACATTTCTACGGATCAGGCCATTTGGTTCGAATTCACATTTCCTATGTGTAGTTCCGTCGTCAGTCCCGCAGGACGGTACGTTTTGGGCAGATATGTCGGGATCGATACGTAATGACAAAAAACGTATCGTCCGGGCTTGAATCGTCGTATGTGCGATTTTGGTACTGACTACGGTATATGGCTCAAAACGTATGGCGCTGGGCGGTTTTGACAGCGCCAATTTTCCGGTGGGACAATACGTTTCAGGCCGATTTACACGGCGGCACCCTCATACGCGCTGACGCGCTGCCACATTGCTGTTGGCAATTTCCGACCCAAATTTTGCGGTCGGCGGTGCACAGCAAATAAAATGTCAATGTGCAAATTTTAATTTTTGCCGTGTGCGATTATAGGCGCAAAGGCATATTTTTGACTTCAAATTTTATCACGTACCGTGTCCCGCGCCTGACAAGCATGTCAGATGCCCAACACGTATCGTGCTGTGGGCCATCTTACAGCAGGCAGATATAATGGCAGGGCCTATGTGAATGTCCAAACAGACGCCCGTTCAGGTGCGCCGAAATTAAGCGCAAATTTACTTCGGTCTGGCGGAGTGCGCATTGGCTATAAAAAATCCGGAAAATTGATGAAGCGCACAGGGCCAAATTTGATTATTTTATCATACCAGATGGACGTCGACAAACGCAGACATGCGTCCGACGTCAGCCGTTGGCCGGATGCACGCCATCCTCGCCGTCATGTCCCGTCATTGATCCCGTTGGTCGCTGTCACGATATCAATCGCGGTTCCCCTATTCAGGCCCCTGAACCACGACGCGCATCTACTGGCTGGCGCTCCTCGTGACGCGCGTCTATTGGTTCACCACTGATCTGACTTACTCTGCCCGTTCCTTTCCTTCCCCCGCCCTGAATGACCACATATTGTATGAGACTACAATTTCATCCGCGCGATCTACATACACACCGCTTCGCTCCCGTCCTCCTGTTACCCCTCCCCCAACGTGCCCGCCCTCTTACGACTATCCCTATCCTAATAATACTCCCAACGGGAATCGAACGACAATGCAAAAATTATTAAAATAATTTGTGGGACATGTGCGCTCGAACCACAGCAGCCGATTGGTGTGTTAGAGAACTAATCAAAAGTATATGCAAACTTATCAAATATGAGTGTCTTTCGAGTCCAGAGAGATGTCTTTCGAGCTCACCAATTGCTCGCCGCTAAGTGTATACCACATGCAGAGGCCACTATGGCGACACAGACCAGAGCACGATATTAGTTTTTCCCTTTTCTCCGACCCTTGAGACCTTTACAGTATCCTTCTTGTATGATTGAGTCAGACGTGAGCCGGAGGCACCCGTGAGACTCGCAGCCAGCTTCAATGCCTTTCTCATTCTCAAAAATGTAAGGTTTTTGGGAGGGTTCCTTATCTTTCATGCTGATTCTGAGCAGCGCGGCCAAAATGGACATGCAGCACATGTTTTAATTCGAATTTGTTAATATTGTCGCTCTGGACCCCACTGAGTTTTCTTTTTCAGAAGAAGTGCCTGAAGAGCCCATGACGGAAAGGGCTACGCATTGCGAATCGTATGTGACAATGGCGAAGATGTGCACGCTTATCACTTGCATGATCACTGGACTTTGCAATGTGGAATTCTCGAGAAATAATCCCCGACAGAGCAGGATTCGATGCGATAGTAGTTGGCTCCGAGCTTGTCACCTATGGACTTCAAGGAAGAACTACGTCTGCAGTCCGCAGCAGAGTACTGTGCTCGGGAAGACTACGCTGTGGATGGCCGTACTTCAAGGTCTGAAAAAAGTGCCGCCAACATTCGTTATCCAGCAAGCCACAGGGGCTGGCTTTTGGGTGTTGCTTTGAAGGCGCTCACAAGTTGACCACTCCCCTCCACCAACGGGCGCCAAAAACCTGGCCCAGGTCACCGCACAACACAACGTGCAGGCAGATACCTTCCCCACTGTAACCCAAACAAACAAATATATTGCGTTGCCCAAATAAACCAGATGAGAATCGAACTCAGGAAGAGTAGCGCAAAACTGGGCCTATAACATTGCAGTAAAATCATAGTCAGGGACAATTGCCGCAAAGCTTGGTTAACTACGTAGCCACAGTCGCTGTGTTTCTTGTGTTACAATAACCACATCTGCATTTTCAACAAATTCCTGGGCAAACATCTGGTCACGTGTCGCAGGCAGGACCCGCACGCCCGGCCAGCTATAGCCGCGTCGTTAAGCCCCTCACATGGACAACAGTCGCCGCACGGGATGGTCACGTTTGATCTCGCGATCCCGCGCGCCATATATAGAAAAAGTTCCCTTCGTGGCCGCAAAAGGCATTGAGGCCTCTTATAACCTTACCCAGTACGGGCCCACTTCACGGCAATGTTTACATATATATATATTATCCGTTGCTGCCTCACCTTAGGGGTAGAGGGCGTATAAATTATACATTAGGATTTTACGGGATAGGAGGAGTAGGTGGAGAAGGAGGGTTATGTGGGTTATGTGGAGTATGTGAGTTTGGTGGTGTATGTGGATTATGTGGAATATGTGGAATATATGGATTTTGTGGTTTGGGTGGTTTAGTTGGTGGAGGGGGTTTAGGTTGTGTAAGTTGGATAGGCGGTTTTCTGGTTTAGTTGGATTGCCGGTTTAGGTGGATTACGAGTTTAATTGGATTACCGGTTTAGGTGGTTTACCAGTTTAGTTGGGTTACCAGGTTTACCTGGTCTAGTTGGTTTAGCAGGTTTACCAGGTTTATGTGGTTTGCCAGGTTTAGTTGGTTTACCGGGTGTACCAGGTTTAATTGGTTTACCAGGATTACCAGGGTAGTTGGGATTCGGGGAAGTGGGGGATTAAGGGATTAGCGATAGTTGGGATTAGGGGATTAAGGGAGTAGCGGTAGTTGGGATTAAGGGGATTAGCAGATGGGAGATTAGCAGAAGTTAGGTTTAAGGGATTCGTGGTATTAGGAGATGATCGGTGAGGAGGATGAGTGGATGTTATGTATGTGCAAAGATAATTTGGAGTGGATGGGTATATAATGTGGCTGGCATGGCATGTCTGGGTGAAGTATAGATTGTAACTTTTGTGCTCGTCGGCCGGTGACTCTCTTTTCACTGGCTGAACATCTTCTGGGATGGAGGGTGTCCTTGTCGTTGTCGTGTTGTTTAGAGTGAGTGAGTGTGTGTTTGTGTTTGTGCTATTGGGTCAGTCTCTTGGTTTCCTTCGTCATTCTTTATTCCCTTCTCCGTGTTTCAACTTTTGTCTCTCAACGTTCCTTTTTCGACGGAGGCATGAGGAAGGGGAAACGAGTGTCTTTCGCAGAAGATGCTGGGAAGGAGGGTGGTCAAGATTGCAGTGAGGTGACGGACCACGGAGAGGGAAAGAGTCAAATTGCTGATCCACATATTATCCCGGACATGTATGCGAGTTACATATCATATTTATCCTATTTAGATGTGGACGAGCTACTGGGGAGGACGGCTGAAGACGACTCCGATGAATGCAGCGAGGTCTATGTCAGTGGTGAAGGTGGTGGTGAGGGAGGCGAAGGTGACGGGGGTGATGATGGCGGGGATGGTGGGGATGGTGGGGATGGTGGGGATGGTGGTGATGGTGGTGATGGTGGTGATAGTGATAGTGATAGTGATGGTGATGCGAATGGCGATGGCGATGGCGATGGCAATGGCAATGGCAATGGCAATGGAAATGGAAATGGCAATACGAATGGCAATACGAATGGCAATACGAATAGCAATACGAATAGTATTGACAATGGTGATGGCAGTGACTGCGGCGGTGGTGGTAGTGGTGGTGGTGGTGAAGATAATAATAATTTGGCTCTAGTCCAAGAAGGCATTGATGAATTTTGCGATGGCGTGCCCCATGTTGTTCATGAGGCGGTGTCTGGTAGAAAGCCGCCACTTCCATGGAGTGAGAAAAGGAAAGGGAAAGGGAAAGGGAATGTGAATTATACGAAGAATGAGACTGGGGGTGGGCTTCGCGGCATATGCAAGGCCTGCGTCAGAGGTGTGCAGACGAAAGGCACTGAAAAGCAGCGAAAGATTTCTGAAGAGGTAGTAATGACCGCCTTTGGTCTGCAAAAGGCCCTGCATTCAAAGAGAATCGGAAAGTGCATATCTGTTGCCGTAGTACAAGTCGAGCATAGCATTTTAGAAGACTGGTTACGAGTTCACCCTCCCCTCCCTCCCCTCACTCCCCAATTAAGGAGACTTTTAGCAGGGCGTGTAAGTGAGCAAGCAAGCAAAGTAAAGAAAGTATGCAGCAGAAAAAAGGGGTCAATGGTGAAAGCGTCCAGAACTCTTACTGCTGTTGTCGTTGCATCTCAAAAGACGGCCCGCCCTGACAAGACCTGGTCCTCGCATATTTTTTTGTTTGTGTGGGGAGGGAGGGGGCGCGCGCCTAGGGATTGTTGTGAGGTGGGGTTAGGAAGTACGTGCCATAGACTTACGGCGCCGTCTTTGGGCCCGCAACTGTAGCTCTCTGCCCCATTAGTGGAGTACATCGGAGAGGAAAGTAATGAGAATTTTCTGCGATCATAGGTCGGGAGTGAGTTGCGTTGCGATGAGTTGTGACGGACGACGTGTTGTATCTAGATCCGTGGACAGGAACGTGCGGGTGTGGGATATGGAGACTAGAGCACAAGTCAGGGAGGCATCAGATGGATACAGGTGTGGGGTAATAAGCGTTGCGATTAGTGAGGACGGGAGACGTGTGGTATCTGGATCGTTGGACAAGAGCGTGCGGGTTTTGGACGTAGAGACGGGAGCACAAGCCGGGGCCTCGTTAGTTGGACACACGCATTTCGTGGCTAGCGTTGCGATAAGTGGGGACAGAAGACGTGTGCCATCTGGATCGTGGGACAAGAGCGTGCGGGTTTGAGACGTGGAGACGGGAGCACACTTGATACCGGGAGGGTAGAGGATTGACAAGAAGTCATGAGTCGGTGTCTGTGAATGACAGACTTGGAGACTGCTTTTCGCGCAGGAGGAACATTCTAAATGTTTTTCAAGGGAGGGAGGAATTCTCCAAAGGCGAGAGGATGGGTCTGAGGCTGTCTTGCGTCAATTGGAGACTACAGTAAACTTACTCACTAATATGGCACGGTCATGTAGTTGCAATTGCAGTGTTGGCTTATATGATTGTTTCCATGTAGAGAGCGGTCTGAATTGCGAAAAGACATCAAAAGAATGTCGATGAGTTCGAGAACAGTAACGGCATCTGTGTATTTTCCACCCTGACCAACTCATGCTGCCTTGTCCTCAACTAATTTATTGTAAACCCCAACTAACTCGTAGTCAATGCCAGACATCATCCCGCACCTTCAACACGCACCGCACCAGCTACCATACTGTACTACCATTCCACTGCCTTGAGAAATGTATCAAATCTCCAGCGGTAACCAACAGATGTTGATATCCTGTTCATGCGATAGGGTGTGTGAACCAAGATACCGTAAAGAACAACGTACTGTAGCTACAGAAAGGTTGATTTCGCTGCGGGATGTGATTCATTTCTGTAATGAAGTTATTTATATCCATGGATCAGTATTATAACTCGGGCATACGTGTCACGCCGCGTGAGCGTGTGGCAAGTGAACCGCCGGAGGCGCTCTGCTCAAACCTGTTCCCTCCCCAACTTCTCTTGCACCTCTGCAGTGTGCCATCGCAGTCTCGTCCGTATCTTGACGAAGGCGAATGTCACTGACGAGGGGTTATTACGAGATCACCGAGCTAGGTATGTGTTATCCATACTGTAAGGGGCGGCCCTAATGGAAGAAGTCTTGGAAACATCTGAAGAAGAAGAAAGATTTTGGGGCGTGCCCTGCCAAAGTTCCATCACCAAGCTACAGGTGACAAAGACTGGTCAAGGGCAGACGACGGGGTCAGTCAGCATGGTGTTTTAGCTGGCGCTGTTTCTCGGAATGGTGCAGATCGAGGTAGTTGGGGTCGTGAAAAGGGATGATATCATCGCGGGTGGTGTGCAGGTGAGCGTCGGTGAACGGCCCGGCAGACATGTCGCAGACACAGATGACCTCGCCTCCCACCTCACCACCCTGATAGAAGCCGCCGTCAAGCCATGAGCCCAATCGCAAGAGGTTGCACGCTGTTTTAGGGCTTTGTTTTGTTTTCGGCTGGTGATAGTGCTTGGGAAAGGGCTGTTATGGATAAAATGGCAAGGAGAAGAATCAGAGTCAATGGGGACACGTCCGTGTTGAGCGCAGAGATGGCTACTGATGATACCGCAGTTCTTTTTTAAGTACAGATCCGTTCAGAGGCAGGCATAAGACAAAAGAATGTTTGTTTTGACGTACATTCTAGCAACACGATTCCAAGACGAACCGAAAGGGTAGTTCCGCTCGATGATGATCATGTCGACCTGAACTACTTCGTGTCTGATTTTGATGGTCGTGTCAGGGGACATGACGTACGTTTACGTTGAGGGGAAGAAGACCATGGAATGTCATGCCTTTTCGTGGCCAGAGGGATTCCATCGGAAGGACAGGTGCAGGGAAGCAACCAATGTCGATTCCGATTTGAAGGTCGTAAGCATGGCTAGTGCGTGTTATGGACTTCCAGAATCATCGGGAACTCGAGGTTTTGCCGTGTCTACTCATACTGGTGGCGTTTGGCTTGTTTCCTCGTCCGTTCCCCCCCGATCAGCTTGGATGAGGATATGCCACTTGCGTGGCTACTTACAGTCCGTTTCTGCACCTGTTCTTGATCTTTGGCGGAGCCTGCTACATTACTCCGCAGACCAAAAACAGAGGGGCAGACAAAGCGACTGATGCGAAGGTTAGTGAAAGCGCTTATAGCAGAAGGGGTTTTTTGATGTGTCCGAATCTCTCAGCGCGCTCGTTCTACAGTAATGATAAGCAGAAAATGTTATAGTTTCGGATCACGATCCCCAGTCTGCTTGCTCTCTTGACTTTGCTGATCGACACGGAACTGGAGAAGAAATCTGGGCAGCACAGGATCTTTCCGACGTCCCTCGCAGATTCTGAAATCTTCTCTGGTATTAGGCCTGACTCTCCATCAGTCACAGAAGACCGCATTCTGGGATGCTATCACGGTCCAATCGACCTTCGCGATAGTTACGGACGGGGAAAAATCGCCGCTACTCGTTTGTGTCCTAGATCTTGAAAAATTGGCATGCGACAGGAGGATACTGCTATCGCTTCAATGATGCAACATCATGCACGGGCGGGAATCGGAAGCGGCCAGAGAGCCGCAAGTGATATTCTTTCGAGGACAACGCGGGACAGCGTAGAGAGAGGGCGAGGAAAAAATAACCCACGGCCTACGGTCAAGACATGTTGAAGTCGGTTCTGATGCTTGGGGGTAGTAAAGAAGGCGTCAGAACAAGAAAAGATGAACATCAAGACGAGGCCGCTACAAGATTATATCGGTATTCGATACGAATTTCATCTATTTCTATAACTGCATTGGAGCGCTTCATGTCCGAGACTATTGCCAGGATGCAGACGGAGCTGGACATGGCATGGCCGGTGAAACCACAGCAGCGGACAGTTGGAAAGCGTATAGGCGTGGGCGTGTAGCCTATAGAAACTAAAGTTCTTCGCAGTTTGTGAGGCGGTAATTGAATCCGTACAAGCAGCAAAAGTGGTGCGTGTCGAAGCGGAGCGGACGACGAGTTCGTTGTTTAAGGCCATGCCTACGGGAATGGATGGAATTAGCAACTGGATGTCTGACTCTAGACCTTGTGGAAACCCGCTGATGAAGATTGCGCAGAAAGCCTTGTCAATGGGGTGGGACGAGCCGACAATGAGACGAATGAATCCCTGGCGATGAAGGCGGCAGGTGTTGATAGCAGGGAGCTCTTGTTCCGAACTCTCGAGCACGGTCAATAGAATGAATGATCGCTCTATGAAGCAAGGTTGCCGATGGGGAGAATCAAGAGCTTCAGAAGCAACGACGAAGCCGATATCGTCTTTGAAAACACGTCTCGTGGAAAAAAAAAGTTGGGTCTGCGTTAGATATGCTTTGCAACAGCAGGATAGGAGATAAAGCGTTCCTACTCGTATCAACTATGGTCCCATGTCAAGTGCCGCACTACGATGTCCTATACACACCTCGTTCTTTTCTCAGCCCCGTCACCCTCTCCCCTTCCCCCGTCATGGACGCTCTTCTCTGCCACACCCCATCGCCTGAGAGTCCGATGATTGCAGGCATCTATGTTATCACAAGCCATGGCACAGGAGCTTGCGAAAAGAAAGAAGAAAAGCATTACCAAAAAACTGAGAACGCGTACGCATGCCTGTTAGCAATTCTAAATGAAGAGTTGAGGGGGTTTCAAGACTGTATGCTAATCCTGCGACATCAACTCATCGAATTTGCTTGGCCCCCTTTTATGTTGATGGGCATAACTCGCTGTAAATCGTATGAGAGGTAACGTTTCGTTTATTGAGGAAAACTTTGACTGACAGACGCCAAACAGGCGAGACGAAGACTACGGCGAGGAGGCGTCTTTGCGCGCCAAAGATCTTGCGGTAGTTCTTGAGGGGTTTGGCCACGGAGAGGAGAGGTGGGTGGATCCCTGCAGGACGCAGTGTGGGGCAAGTCACGAACGGCGGAGACGACTGGCCTACTGGCGCCGGCGATTTGCTCGGAGGGGAGGCCAAACTGGAGCTGCGGGTGCCGGTGAAGACCGCGCTGCCCTCCTGTGCGGGCTGCGGAGCACGGTGCGACAGGTGGGACTCGGGGATAGGGTGCGTCCCGTCATCTTCGGAGTCGTAGAGGGGGACGTCGGAGTCTGAGTGCAGCGATAGAAATGCGGCGCGTACTTCGGCAGAGCAGATTACGATTGGTGGCGGGTTGAAGTCGATCTCCGGAGATGAAGGCGGGGCGACCGAGGGAGTGATGGAGAGCTCAGAGCTCTTCGTCTTCAGAGTCTGAAGACGAAGACATCATCCGGGAAGAGAGCAGGGGTCTTCGAGTAAGAAGGGTGGGAGGAGGAGATGATGCCAGTCACGCTCGCCTTGAATGCCGAACTTCGAAGAGGTTTACGAGGAAATTCTTCGTTCGCAGAGGCGTCCAAGGCGAATCAAGGAGCAAAGAAGACCGTGAGTGAGTCAAGTACTGGAAATTTGTGGCGAGTTGCCGCTTGCCCTGAGCGCGGAGGGGAATGAGCAAGGGTGGAAAAGATTCAGGTGACAGCAGTATTCAGGCGGTAGTAGGTAGGGTGAGGGTTATTTCTTTCATATTATATATATTCGGTTTTAGTAGTACGGGAGTAGGATAGTAGGTGAAAGTGGTCGTAGTGGATTAACGGATATAGGTTGGTGGAATTAGCGGATTAAGAGTTATTGGGATTAGCAGATATTAGGATATGTGGATATTGGGATTAGCGGATATTCGGATATACGGAGATGGGGATTAGGAGATATTCCGATTAGAAGATATTGGGATTAGCGAATATTGGGAGTAGGGCGTATATATTATATATTAGGATTTTAGGGGGTGGAAGGTAGGTGGTTTAGGAGGGTGTTGTGGATTTTGAGGATTAGGAGATTAGGAAGATTAGGGGGTTTATATGGTTTTGGTGGATGACTGGGTTTAGGTGGATTAGGTGGATTTGGTGGTTTAGGTGGTGGAATGGTTTACGTGGTTGACCGGTTTAACGATGTACGAGGTTTAACGGTTTATGTGATTTAGCATGTGTACCAGGTTTAGGAGGGTTAGCAGGTTTGGGTTGAGATTGGGTTTAGGTGGTTTGGCATGTGTAGCAGGTTTAGGTGGTTTAGCAGGTTTAGGTTGCAATTGGGTTGAGGTGGTTTAGGGGTTTAGGTTGAGATTGGGTTTAGCAGGTTTAGCAAGTGTAGCACATGTAAGTGGATTAGCAGGTTTAGGTTGACAGTGGGT